TCCATATGGGCACAAATGTAATGCCGTGGCAATTTGGCCAACCTGACCCTCCGAGGCCTCAAAGACGAGCTGTGACTTTGAAGCAAAACTTCTTGGTTTGTAACATGGCTTCGTGGTTGCGATAAAATCTTGCATTGTGGCCTCCAAAGATCTTGTGTTAGATGAAGATGGTACTCCCTCATTAGAATTATGCCATGGCATATCCGTTTGAAAACCCTGGGAGTCACTGAAGTTCTGCTGCCTAGCGGTCTGACTAGCATTGATGGTTCCTTGATTTCCCCAACAGAAGTTTGGACGCTGACACCATCCAAGATTATTAGAATAGGGGGATTGTAGTTGCCAACATAATTGATGGATTCTTGATTGGTCAGGCAGTCACTCTCATTGTGATTGCCGTGGCATAATAAACATGCTGAATTGGCTGCCTTCACTTCTCTCACATCGCTTGGCCTTTGCAAATTCTTCAACATATTAGTGATAGCAGCAAGTTGAGCAGACACCGAATCCTTAGAATCTAGCTCGAAAGCTCCATGTGATTTTTGCCCAAGTCCAAGCCTTATAGATGAAAATTGATAATCCTTGTTAGCAATCATATCCAGAATGTCAAATGCCTCTGCAAGTGATTTGTCAAGTAATGTCCATTTACTGAGGCATCTAGCATCATTCTCGTGAGCGCACTAACTCCGTTATAGAACATCACAACTTGAGTCCAGTCGTGGAATCCATGATTGGGGCACTTGCGAAGCAAACTTTTGTATCGGTCCCAGCACTCATACATAGACTCTTCATTTCCTTGGTGAAAAGATGTTATGGCATTTCTAAGATGGTTGTTCATATTGGGTTGATTATGCCGTAACAAAAAAATTTTGCACAAGTCAGTCCAAGACCTTATCAAGTCTGAAGGTAGTCCATTGAGCCATGCCCTGGCGTGATCTTTCAAAGAATATGGAAATAACTTCAATTTCAGAACATCTTCATGCACACCTTGTTGTCGAAAGGAGTCACAGACCTCCAAAAATGCTCAAACATGTTGCCTTGCATCCTCATGAGGAGCACCACCAAACTGTCCAATAAAGTCCAACATGTCGAACATAATTGGTTTGAGCTCAAAGTGGGCTGCCTGATCATGGGTGCCACAATTCCAGGATTAGGTCGTCCATGATAAGGTTTAAATGATCTCGAATACTACGAGGCCTAGATGCATTCCCAGCATTCGGAATTACCTCGACATTCTGATATTCCTCTTGACCCAATCCTTGATTTCCAATTTGATACATCTTTGCTTGAGCACGTTGAGTATATAAAATAAAAGCCTGAAAAAGACAAGGAAAATAACAAGTAAAACTAAACAAAAAAATTGAACAAGTAAAATAAAAAATGCTATGACAAAACTAATTAACTTCCAGTTGCCAATCCCGGTAACGACGCCAAAAACTTGTCGCATTTTGTGAGTACTAAAATATGGTGCGGATATGTGTGCAAGTATACACAATCGAACAAGTAATAAAGTGATGAGTGAGTATCGTTCTCCACAGGGATTGGGGGAAATCAAATAAGTTTGTCACGGCACTTTACTTTGTCACCTAAGTAAAGTTAATAATGGTATATACAAATGATAATGTTGTGGCAAAATGAAATGTATTCAGTGCAAACAAATGGATATGTCAAGGCAAAATGAAATGTAAATATAAGGTTTAATTGATAGGACTTTGTCTTTCTCACACGACAAGCTACTATAGGAATGAGTGATGGGAGTCAATCTGGAAAACCTAAGTTTACTTCTCAGAATGGTTTTACTTCTATGCCTAGTCTGCCCGACAGAGTCTCCTAAGGTGCCCTAAGCTATCTCTAGTAAGGGACTCGACAGATTAAAGATGCCCTAGCAAAACCGATTAGCGTAAACCCCTGCAGTGATCCTATTGGTCCAGATAACAGGATATGTCTCGGCAAAACCTTTTTGCGGCAGCATTAACATCTAACCTATCGTTCAAGCACCACTCTTTTTAGTCGAATGAAATCATATCCTTATCTCTAAGGTGGATTAGGCCTAGTTACTACCTAGAACCCCTTGTTTATGTAGTTCCTCCCTAGTTTCTCTCGAACACTAAGGATTTTTACCAAGGTATTCTCTCGAACCCTAAAAACCTCCTAAAAAAGGCTACTCTCGTAGCTCCTACAACCTTAAGGCATTAAGTTTCATAAACAAAACAAAATAAAGCATAGAAAAACAATAATTCATTGAAATAAAAACTTAAACATCCAAGCAAACTCCCACCAAATAGGATTAGTTCATGGTGGGGTTCGAAATAACCAAGCACAAAGCAAGTATCATTCGTTCCTTACAACCTGAATAACAAAATATGAAAGCAAAAATCTAAGGGGAGGAGAAAAAGCCTTTAGCATGCACTTCCAGAGCTTCCCTCAGCCACCACGAACTGCTCCCAGTGAGCTAGCTCCTCTCGGAGGCCTAGAACGCCACTCCCTCAAGCTTGTCACGGAGAAATGCCACGGCAAAATGAATTGGCGAAGAACGTTTTCTCTAAATTTTAGGCTCTTGGCGGCTTTTCAAAAGTCTCCTTTCTATTGTGGCTTCATCCTCTATTTATAGGGGGAGAAAAACCCTAAAGATTTGTGTCAAAATTCCAAAGATACCCCAAATCATGCTTAATTCACGTGATGATAGGGTAGAGCTGGCAGTGATTCTGCTAGGCAGCTGGCAATGGTCCAACCTGGGTGGTTGACTGGGCAGGTAAGGATCTACGCTGATCCAGGCAGATTTCTCAGTCATGATTACAGATCCGGATTTCTCGGTCATGATCAGAGATCCCGTGAAAATAGGGACAGTTGGCTCTAAAAATATCTTCTTTCATTTTGTTCGCTATCGAAATGCCAATCCAGCTCGGCATTTTCATTCTACTCAACAATCTTCTTATGCCATGGCATTTACTTTTTTTCTTTTCCTTGCTATCAAATCCTGCACATCATCAAACAAACACCTTCCCCATAAAACAACACTGATAACAAAATAAAATGCCACGACAAATAGAATTCCACCTCATGCAACTATATGCTCCTAAATGCATCTAAATGATCCTAAATGGGCTCTTAAACATTCAATAACTGAAGTGAAAAGGTCCCAAAATATGACCTTTTTACGGAGTTATCAGTAAGCACTCCATTGGCGAATCACTTTAAGCTCTCATCAGAACAGTGCCCTAAGACAGATAAGGAAGCTGAAGATATGGCAAAGGTTTCGTATTCTAATGTTGTTGGCTGCTTGATGTACAATTGTATGTACTCATCCTGATTTAGCTCATGTTGTTAGTCAAGTTTGTAAGTACATGTCTAAACCTGGTAAACAACATTGGGAAGCATCAAGTGGATCTTTAGGTACTTAAAGGGTACTGTGGGATATTGAATTATTTTTGTAGTCAATGGGATAATCCTTTGGTTGTAGGATATGTAGATTCAGACTATGCGGGTGATTTGGATAATAGAAGATCTACGACAGGGTATGTCTTTATTCTTGGTAGAGGGCCTATTTGTTGGATGTCTATTGTTCAATCTGTTGTGGCATTATCTACAACTGAAGTTGAATACATGGCAGCGGCTGAAGCTGCAAAAGAAGCTTTATGGCTTACTGGTTTAGTGAAGGAGTTGGGTGTTCAGCAAGGTGGAGTTTAGTTGCTTTGTGACAATCAAAGTACTATTCACTTGGCTAAGAATCATGTATATCGTGCTAGAACTAAGCATATTGATATAAGGTTTCACAAGATTAGAGAGTTGGTTGCATCTGGAGAGATTTTGTTTCGGAAGGTACATATTGATGAGAATGTCGTTGATATGTTCACCAAGCCAGTTACGACAGACAAGTTCATGCATTGCTTGGACTTGTTGAATGTTTCGAGTTGTTAAAGAAGTACGGTAACCCAACCCACATTGAATGTTTCCTAAGGGGCAGGATATTCGCCAATGTGGAGATTTGTTAGGTATGGCTCATAAATATATCGGTAAAGAGGACAGAGGATGGAGCGGAGTGAGCGAAGCAAATGCCATCCGTCCTTACAAAGAAAGTCTCGTAGTGGGGGTTACGATTATGTGGGTTGGGAGTGCGGGGGCGTAGCCCCGCGGTACGGTACAGAGTTATTTTTGTAAATATGTACCAGAGTTTATTTATTATAAAATGAGATGTAACCAAAACCTATGAGATATTGAATAAAAATTCGAGCGCAGCCTAGGGCTCCGAGGACGTAAGCACATTGTTGAACCTCGTTAAAATTCTTGTGTTCTTTCCGTTTTCTTTACCCGATTATTCAATAGAAATTAATCCATGGAGTTACCATATGGAAGGTAGATAAATATTTTAGTGATTTTTTATCAAATTATATATATTTGCGATTATAACATTCAACCTTAAGAGAAGTATGTGAAAGAGAAGAAGATTAAAGAAATTTAATTTTTTTGTTTGAAAGAAAAAAAAAGAAATGGAAAAAATGAAAAGATTAAAATTAACTAAATGTGTTCATTTCATTTACCAATTAAAAAAATATAACTTTACCAATAATCAGTTGGTTTAGTAGGATGAGGTACTAGATTCTTTAAGCAATGTCAGATATTTGAATTATGGTGTTTGTAGATAAAGTAAATTAGGTTGCGATAGTCACCTTTGATTTTGCAGTATTCAATCTGAATTAGTCGATCAATAGATTGATTACCGATGGTTCTACCAAAAATATATATATATAACTTTTATGAGCGATAATTTTAATGATTAAATTAAAATATTTTGAAGTATGGTAACCAAAACAATAATAATCTAATAATTGAGTGAACAATGATATTGTGTTTAGATATATGTTTTTCGGAAACAAATGGAGCTTAATTAATCCATTGTTTTCGCGGGCTTTTCCCTTTCCCGTGGCCGACTCTTTCTCTTGGTGTTCTCTCGTTCACGAAAGCTCTGTTCCCCTTTTTATCTCTCTTTTGTTTTTTAATCTCACATAATCTCTAAATTACACACTATTAATTTTAAAAAAAAAACCCTAAAGAAATACTTTTAATTCCAGCGGTAGCTAAAAGCTGGAATTCACTGTTATATGTAAATATATTTATATAAAATAAATCAATATCATTCTGCCTTTGCTTAACGCAGAAACAAATCAATAACGGTCGTTAAAGCTCTCTTCTCTTTTTCAGATCTTTTCATTTTTGTGTTTTCAGGTATATTTCTTTTGCTTTCCTTGTTAGATTTCTTTGTTTGTTGCAGATCTAATGTGGTAGGAGTCTTAAACTTGTACTGGCTTTATCTGTTTTATCTGTATTTGAGCTAAATTTGAACATAATCTTTGTATATGGTGCAATTTGTTCAACTTATTTATAATCATTTTTTATATTGATATAAAGCTAATATTTTGATAGTATTATTTTGAACTGTGATAGCGGTTTTCAGTTTTAGTCCTAGATTATTCGACCTGAAAATGGATGCCATTCCATGTTTCTTTCTTTCCAAAGCATAAATTGTTTCTATGGTTCTTGATGAAGAATTGTGTAAGCGTGAAAAATTAATTTAGCTTTAATTTTTCTTAGTGGAAGTGAGTAAAATTTGTGAGCCTTAATTTTACTGACATTCTTAGATATGCTGCATTTTGTTTAGTTAGCTTGCTTCTAAATTTTGTTTTCATAAAAAGTTCAGGTGTATATTTTTGAAGAATTGATTGGAAAAAGAAGGAAATAGTGATCATGGCTTTAGGGAAATACAGTAGAGTAGATAATAATAAGAGTTCCTCGTCTTCGAGTTATTGTTCCACTGTCACCATTGTGATTTTCATGGGATTATGCTTAGTTGGGATTTGGATGATAACCTCGTCCTGGGTTGTCCCGCTTCAGAACGGGGATGATATGGCTGAAGAAAAGAAAAATCAGGTCGAGAATCAGTTTCGGCCAGTACTCATGGATAGCAAAAACAGCGGCAACAAGCCACAGTTTGAAGATAAGCCCGATGATCTAGGTAAGGATGCTCCGCAAGGGGATTCAAATGTGAGTCTAGCTAAAGATGAGGGCAAAACCAACTTCAATGCAAAAGAAAATAATGAGAACGCTGAAGAGACTAAGTTGGAGAAGTCTAAGAAGGATAATGAGCAATCCAATCCTGAAGGTGGAGTGAAAAACAATGGAAGCAGCGAGAATCCGGGTGGACAAGGGTCTGAAAACAGCAATGATAAACCTTATTCTAATGAGAATGACAAGAAATCCTATTCTAATGATTCTGAAAAGAAACGCAATGAAAGCTCTTCTTGGACTAAAGGGGATAAGGTTGATAAAAATGTCGACAAAGTCTTGGATAAAAGCTCTGATGGTCAGGTGAAAAATAAGAGCTCAGATGAAGTTTTTCCATCTGGTGCTCAGTCTGAAAGTTCTGACGGTCAAGTGAAAAAGAAGAGCTCAAATGAAGTTTTCCCATCTGGTGCTCAGTCTGAAAACTCTGATGGTCAAGCGAAAGAGAAGAGCTCAAATGAAGTTTTCCCATCTGGTGCTCAATCTGAAAGCTCTGATAGTCAAGTGGAAAAGAAGAGCTCAAATGAAGTTTTCCCATCTGGTGCTCAGTCTGAGCTTTTGAAGGAAACAAAGATTCAGAATGGATCCTTCTCTACTCAGGCGGCAGAATCAAAAAATGAAAAAGATGCTCAGTCGTCAAACTCATCATCAAAGGAATACAGTTGGAAGCTTTGCAATACCACTGCCGGGCCTGATTTTATCCCCTGCCTTGACAATTGTGAGGCCATCAGGAATCTCCATAGTACCAAACATTATGAACATCGAGAGAGGCACTGTCCAGAAGCATCACCAACCTGCCTTGTTCCTCTTCCTGAAGGATACAAATACCCAATTCCATGGCCGAAAAGTAGGGACAAGGTACTTGAACCTAACATGTGTTGGTTTAACTTTTCAGTTTGATTTCATTCTTGATAAGATGTATTAACAAAAGCTTTCATCCTGTTGCAGATTTGGTACAGAAATGTTCCCCATTCCCAGCTAGTAAAATTTAAAGGAGGTCAGAATTGGGTGGAAATTTCCGGGAATTACTTAACATTCCCTGGTGGTGGAACCCAGTTTAGGAGAGGTGCACTTCATTATATCGACTTCATACAAAAGGTGATTTCTCAAATTGAATGTATTGTTTTTGAACTTCTATATTGTATCGTATCATTGACTACTGTGTCTCACTCCCCATGGTGTGGTCTCTACTTGTTGAATATTCATTTTTGTCTTTCTGCTTGTAGCCTATTATTACAGTGGTAATACTTGTATAACACAAGATAAAAGCTGCGGCATGAATATTTTTGATCTGAAGCTATATCTTAAAATTAGATTTCAGTACCTTATTTTAGAGCACAATAGCTATTATTATCAAGAAGATTTTTATTCTTATAGTTATCTTAAACCTACAATTTTCCAGTCCATGAAAGAGGTCGGGAGATTATATTAGAAGCAATTCCTAAACCTGAAATTCCTTGCTTTTGTTGGGTCATTTTTTCCAATAAGAAGAAAGTGATTCATTCAATCTTTATTTTTGATTGATCAAGAAAGGGAAGTAGGCACTGGCATATTCATTAAGTGCTTTTGTGGTTGACAGGCATACCTGTAAGGAGCGTTAAGAAGCTTTTATTATCTGAATTATGGACATTGGTTGATATAAGTTTGAGTGCGTGGCTATGTGCATATATGATATATCTGTTTCATTTCTTGTGAGGCGTTCTATATCTGCAATTTTGATTGCACGCATCTTTTCTACAAATCTTGATTTGTTTTAAAAAGAATGCATGTTTACCACCCGTGGAGTTACTTGTTGCATTCCAGTAATGATGACGATAAGAAATAGTAAATGAATTTTATTCATGGTCAATCTTTCCTCTCCTGCATTTCCATCATCCTGTACTTGATGTTTGATTACATCTGCAGTCTGTGCCTGATATAGCATGGGGGAAACACTCTCGAGTGCTGTTGGATATTGGATGTGGGGTTGCCAGCTTTGGAGGTTATCTTTTTGAAAGAAATGTGATCACTATGTCGTTAGCACCAAAAGATGAACATGAAGCTCAAGTACAATTTGCACTTGAAAGGGGAATTCCTGCTGTGTCTGCTGTGATGGGTACTAAGAGACTTCCCTACCCTAGCAGTGCATTTGATGTTATTCACTGTGCACGATGTAGAGTTCCATGGCACATAGAAGGTATACAACCTCCTCCATAAATTTTAATAACGAGCTGTCTTCAAGTTTTTAATCAATTATTGCAATACATTTTATGAATTTGGCTGTGCTTGAATATTTGCTGGTCTTACCAATACAGGTGGTAAACTCCTTTTAGAGCTCAACCGTTTGCTACGACCTGGTGGTTTCTTTGTGTGGTCTGCTACTCCTGTTTATCGGAGAAAAGGTGATGATGCTGAAATCTGGAAAGGTAAATAATCCCATTGTACTTTTTCTGGTCTTGTATGAGAATTCTATTGTGTCTTGCTCCTCCTGAATATATGCGTGGGTTTTGTGCAGCTATGATTGAACAAACGAAATCTTTGTGCTGGGAGTTCTTAAACGAAACTAAAATGGAACCAGTAAATAAGGTGGCTATAGCAACATTTAGAAAGCCTAAATCTAATGACTGCTATGAGCAAAGGCCACAGCAAGTGCCTCCATTATGTCCTGAGTCTGATGATCCAAATGCGGCGTGGTAATACTTTTCTTTTTCTTTTTTGACTTGGATGTAAAAACTATATCCTTGCTAAAACCAATTCGAACACTTCATCTTAAGAAGACACCAGAAATATCCACTGAGCAGTAAACAATATGCTAACTTGCATTCTTTGAGTAAGCTATTCAATTCTCTTTTCGTAAATTTGGCAAACGAACTATCTGATTGACTTGCAGAAAAAGAACGCATATCACTTGTCAATAAGAATGTAGTTGCTCTTTTCATTATTACTTTAGCATAAATATGGTTCTCTTCCAATATAGCCTACCCAAACAACCATTTAATTTGATTCTTATATGCAGGAATGTATCACTTCAAACATGCATGCACAAAGTACCCGTAGATGCATCAAAACGTGGGTCTAAGTGGCCTGAGCATTGGCCAGAAAGGTTGGAAAAAACGCCTTATTGGTTGTCGAGTTCCCAAGTCGGAGTTTATAGCAAAGCAGCACCAGAGGATTTTACTGCTGACATTGAGTCCTGGAAACAGGTGGTCACCAAGTCATACATGAATAATATGGGAATAGACTGGTCATCAGTCCGAAATGTCATGGACATGAGAGCTATTTATGGAGGGTAAGCAACGGTTATAATTGTTCAACCCGCTACTCTCTTTGTTATGTTGTTTCGTCTCCTTTTCCTGGATTCTGACTGCGGTTTGCTCTCAGGTTTGCTGCAGCACTCAAAGATAAGAATTTATGGGTCATGAATGTCGTCCCGATCGACTCTCCAGACACACTTCCTATAATATACGAAAGAGGTCTGTTTGGTATATATCATGATTGGTGTGAATCATTTAGCACCTACCCGAGATCTTACGATCTTCTCCATGCTGACCATATATTCTCCAAGGTTCAAAAGAGGTTGGTATCAGTAGTTTCCTTGATTTACATGTATGCTTTAGAGCCAGAATCCCTGTTTCCATTGTGAGCCGTAATGTGCTATTGATCATCTACTTCACCCTTTTAACTGTGCTATGGTTTTCGAGCACTCGTAGGTGCAATTTCATTGCTTTGGTTGCCGAGGTCGATCGAATACTAAGGCCGGGAGGGAAGCTTATTGCTCGAGACCATGTCGAGACTATTACCAAGCTGGAGGATATGTTCCGGTCCATGCATTGGGAAGTCAAGAAGAAATACTCCCAGGACAAGGAAGGCTTGATTTGTGTTCAGAAATCGATGTGGCGACCTACGGAGATAGAGACGCTCACATATACCATTGCTTAGGCATCGGTTTCTCATCTTTTGCCTTTTACTCTCTTCTCTTGTGGTTGCTAACTGCAATTTTTGGTATGTAATAGCCCTTGTAGAGGCTTGTATCATGTTAAGTAGGCCTTTAGTATTTGCATTTTATTCCTTTAAACTATGAGCTTGCTTTCCAGGATTCCACGTAATCAGTGTTATACTGTCATCTCTTCAATGGAAAACGATGTTCAGGCATTCATGGCTGCAACATTTACAGAAACTAGAACAGGCAACAACTAAGAGGAACATGTAATCTAAGCTATTAATTTTAAGTTACATTTCTTAAATCTCTAAAAAGTGGGACGGAGAGGATAAGATATAATTATTTAAAATTGCATATTTTTATTTATCGGTTTAATAATTTAAATTAATTTTTCCTACTTGGAAGAAAAAATAAAATAGAAATCTATATAATCAATATAGTCGACAAACACCAAGATTAAGTCGGTTCGATTAAATCGATTAAGACCTATATTGATTAATTAGTTGACTAAAGCATTGGTTAATGGATTAAATCAAATCAATTAAATTCTTTGATTGTTCTCCTCTATCAGATCAATTAATTAAACTACCTTTTATATTAAACTAAAGGGAAAAGTATACAAATGGTACACGGTGTTGCTTTGTTGAGGTTATAAAGTGGTCTCCCGACTCTATGATATTATTTTGTTGAGTCTCTCGACTATTAAAAGTTACAAAATATTCATCCAATTATTCATATATTCCAAACTCACCCTCTTTCGTTAAAATATTGACTGTCGTCTGAGCTGGACATTAATCTGTTGTATGGGATATAATAAAATCATATTTTTAATGAAGTCTATTGATTGTCATTGCTTCCAATCATTGACTCGATGACATAATGTTTAAAACATTGGCTCGAAGACATAATGTAAACAGAGAGTCGATCCAGAAAATACAACTCAAACGGTTTTGTGATCTAATTTTATTATATCACAGTCAAAAGATTAACGTCTAGTTTAGACAGACGCCAATTTTTTATTGAAAATGGACGAGTTTGGAACATACGAATAGTCAGATGATCATTTTGTAACTTTTAATAGTCGGTTGATTAAACAAAAAAGTTTCCTATAGTCAGAGGACTATTTATAACTTTTAATAATCAAAAAAACTCAACAAAACAATATCCTATAGTCCGGAGACCATTCGTGTATTTTACCATAAAATAAAATTTGACGTAAAATTTAAAATTCTAATTCAAGTTAAATAATATTTGATTCCGAAAAGTATTAATCTAACCCTAAAATAAGTGAAATTCCAATTACATTTCCTACACAAAAAGGCAATGATTTGTTAATGAGATCAAGTCATGGCCATAACAAATTGACACGCATGAGGAGCGAGTCACTTGGTCAAAACAAGGCATAGTTTAGTTTCACCTTCAACACCCTACTTTCATGCAAATGTTTCCATCTATTTCACCCAAAATAAAACTAGCAATTATTCTCCCTTAAATATTATTAAAGCATTGTGAGGGATTTTTTTATCATTAAAAAAATGGAAAATGAATTTAGCCATGGAAATGTGACACATGTGACTAGTAAAGGTAAACCCGACAGCCCACGTGTCGCATGTAGTGATGGCAATACCACCAACAACAATAACAACAATAAAGAACAAGATCGTTTTCTTCCAATAGCAAATGTGAGTAGAATCTTGAAGAAAGTGATCCCGAGCAATGGGAAGATCTCCAAGGACGCAAAGGAAACAATCCAAGAATGCGTGTCGGAGTTCATCAGTTTCGTCACTGGGGAAGCCTCGGACAAATGCCAGAGAGAGAAAAGGAAGACGATAAATGGAGATGATATCATATGGGCAATCACCACATTAGGGTTCGAGGAATACGTCGAACCCTTAAAATTGTACCTAAGCAAATATCGAGAGATTGAAGACGAGAAGCTTATATTCCCGAAGCAACAAAGACCGGAGCTGCAACAACAACAACAACAACGACTCTTCCAGAAACAACAATCCGAATATGAACAAAATTTAGGGTTCAACGACAACAACAATAATGTATATTCTTCATTAAATGTTTTGTCTCATCATCATCATCACCACCCTCCTTTTGTTCCTTCGGACCAACCATTTTCCTTGCCTTTCTCTTCCAATTCCTTTCGAAAGCAATTACAGTAGTATGATTTTGATTCCGTGGGACGTTGGTAAAAACAATTGGATTTCTTTTCCACTTTTATTCTTCTGTATTCATTTGCAATGTTAATTAAGTTCATATATACATTTTAATATATATACGTTATTATTATGCTCTTATTATTATTATTAGTATTATAATTTTTGCATAATTTGATAATTAACTCATCTTTTTACTCGTGAAAAAAGGAAATATTTTATGTACTTACATCAAGCAAATTATATATATTTCATCAGGCATCCATATATTTGGTGCCATGGTATGCCCTTTGTATATTTGCATGTTATGTTTCGTGATCAGAGGTGAAGCTAGAAAATTTTATGGGACGGAATTAATTTAATCATAATATTTTTGAAGGATTAATTCATAATTTTATCATTTTAAGAGAACTAAAATGTAGTTTTACCATATATTAACTTATGAGTTTATGATTTTCAGATGGACTTTAAAATAACTTTACTATTTAAACTATAAAGCATATTGCATGTATAATACTAACTAGTTTTGCATGTATTTAAGGGCACAGACTACTGTTGCATAAGCTAGCACTTGCACTGGTAGGGGGACCTGTCAGTCCACCAAACACAAGCTTGTTTCGATTCTTGTACATGTAAACGGAGATTAAGGGGAGTAAAAAGGAAATTTATTTCTTATAATACTCCTATTGCATTAATAATAATTTTCATTTGTCGGTTATTTTTTGGGTAAATAACATCACATGTCATTTAACTAAAATAGGATTACAGATCATTAAATTTCATAAAAATTATATATAAATTATTACACGATTGTTATAAATTATTTATTTTATCGTTAAAAATGAAACATTGGTTCGTGTTCGATTCTTAATACAATTTTTTTTCTGTCTTGTTGGTTACGAACTTTCAACACTACATGAATTGCTAATAATACACATGCAGTCAAACGCTTAAAAATGCATTTAGATGAAAAGATGAATGAAATTGCTTATAAAAAGAATCAATCCTAATATCAAATTATGGTTGAAAGGGTTTATTTTAGGGATGAGTATGGGATCTGAACTCGACGGGTTCCGATCGAGTCGGTTTTTTTTTAAATTAGGGTCGGGTTCAAGTTTAGTGTGATAAATACTCGACCCGAAAAAATATAATTTGAATTTATATATTTAGGAATAATTACAATAATGTCTTTCTATATATTATTTTTTCAATTAAATCGTTTTTATTGAATAAAAATAATATTTTATTATTATTTCGGATCGGGTCGGATCGAGTTCGGATTTTATCTCAAAAAGTCGGGTCAGGTCGGGTCGGGTGAATGATGTAAAATTTTCGGGTCTGGTCGGGGTGGCCAAAACCCGACCCATACCCATTCCTAGTTTATTTATCCAAATATATTTCCCTAGTTTATTTATCCAAATAAAAAAAAATCACTATTTAAATAACATTCGCCTATGATTAATTATTGAAATGACAAAAAAGACACGTGACGTCAAACATATTTTTCTTTTCGGAAGATGATTTTAACATGATAAACTTTATTTATGTGGTAGGAAATCGACCATAACCTTCAATGGTCGAGACAAATGGAAGAAAGGAAAATAAAAATGAGCTATCAACATGAAATTTTGTATAAATTGTCTAAAAAAAGAGAATGGACGCGACGGGTATCGAAGATATGTGTCGTTGTTGTTGTTGTATGATTCGTGTCTGTGTTCAGTAAACATGTGTTTAAATATAGCTTTTGAAACATGCACTCATTGAGTTATTAAATATAAGACATATACATGTGGGACATTATTACTATATGATTCTAGTTATTTTTGTGTAAATACGTGTTTTGAAACCACATTCATATAAGTTAGCATTTCAATGGTTCATCCATTTATGGCGGATTTATCTAGAAGCTATGAATGACTTGGAGAAATGTACTATCCACATTCATGTAAGTTAGCATTTCAATGGTTCATCCATTTATGGCGGATTCATCTAGAAATTATGAATAAGACTTTTGCTCACTCCATTGCTCAACTATATGAGTATTTTGTTAACCATCCTAATGGTTGAGACATTTTGTCACCAAAATATTGTGTGTTTTTGTTGTCTTTATATTTGTTCCCATTTTAATCACATAAAGAGGGAAAGAGGTATTTTCATATATATATATATTATATATTTTCCAACAAATGAAACATGCTTAAAAGATTGCAAGTTCAGTATTTTCCAAGATTATGTCATATGTTTAATTATGGATAATAATTTTATATGAATTCAATAAATTTTGATTTGGTCAAATTGATAAGATCTAATATTTTTATATATAAAGTTAAGCTCGAGTCAAGTTAGGTCATTTTTAAAATGAAAAAATCTATGATCTGATTCGATTCGAGATAGTAATATATTTTTTATATATTTAAGGATAATTTCTAATACCTTTCTCTATATTCTTTCAATTAGATCCTTATTTTATCGAATAAAAAATTATGTGTTTGTGTAGAGTCATGTCATATCGGATGAAATATTTTACTTTAAAATTTAGGTCAAGTTCGAATCGGATAAAACCTCCTAAAAGCTTAGTCAAATCGAGATCAAATGGAGAAGATACTTCTCAGACTAAATTGAGTTGGCTGAAAATATGATCTAATTTTACTCATTATCAGCTTGTGTTTAATTAATCGAATTAAAATATTTAGACATGATATTGATATCAAAATCGAGTAAGAATACAGAAGTTAAAGTTAGTTGGTAACTGGTATTAGGGATGGACACGAAATTCAAACCCGATGGATTTTGATTTGACCTGATCCGTTTAGGTTTGAGTTCTACTTGTTGAAAGATTTTAATCACTTACTTAACAGGTTTTTGACTAAATATAACTTTTTAAATATACACACATTGAGAGATTAAATATAAGTCTTATACATATGTGTCGTCATTGTTGTATGATTCGTATTTGTGTTCATGTAAACATGTATATTTAAATAAACTTTTGAAACATGCACTCATTGAGTTATTAAATATAAGACATATACACGTATGACTTTGTTACAGTATGATTCGTGTTTATTTCATATAATACGTGTCTTCAACATGTATTGTGCGTATTTTTCATCTTCTTTTTTACAATATTAATACAATTTTTCCATGATTTTATTTATTTTTTCTTTTATTTTGTCATCAATTTTAAAATTTATTATCATACGTGATACAAAGGAGTACAAATCTAGAAATTAATGAAAGAAATCTTAATCAACCAATCTATACTTTAATCGATTTGAACATTCAATTTAATTTAAAAAATAAATTAAAATGATAAAAATAAACTCGTCAATTCAATAAACTCAATATTTTCATTTATTTCAAATCGATTTAATCGAACGATGAATTCCCGTAAACAGTAACCTCAGTTGCATCCTGGGAAGACGATGAAACAAACGGTGGTGTGGTGACAGCCGAATAACTCAAACCACTAGAGACAGCCATTGAGAAAGTTTCAGAGAATACACCATGTATCAAACAGAGCAAAAATGAAAACCAAGAGACTGAGAGGGTATTTTACAAATTTGACCATTTCTTAGTTATATAATAAACATTGTAAGGTTAAATAGAATAATAGCAATTTTAGCCCCTCTCAATTATCAATAATTCAATTTAGACCTTTAAATATACAATTGGAAAGTAAAGATAGCATTTCTATGAGAATGACAACAATGAATTTCTTCTTTGTTGGGTCTATATTGTGCAATTTCATACCAATATAGACCCTTTTTTCTGTAAAAAGACTAATCTCTATATTGATTTTAAGCAACAATTTAGACCTTAGAAGCTCAGTATAATTATCTACAATCATGAAACAGAGAGAAGGAAAAAAAAAACCTTCCCATGTGAAAAGTTATCATCAATGGCTTGAGGCCCACCTTGTTGGAAATTAATTGAAGTTTCCAAATGGTTCACCAAATTTTCAAGGGTCAACTACCTATTTGATCATCCACCTATTACTTAGTTTATGTTTTGGTCACCTAACTATTGTTTTCTTTTCAAATCATAACTAACGTTCATTTTGATTCTATTTTTGTCATCTACATATAAAAATTAACGGTGATGCTGACATGTTACCATAAGATATGTCACATCAACATTAAAAATAATAATAAAAGGCCATATCAGCATCATCATTTTTAACGGTGGTGACTAAAACGAACTAATGTAATGTTAGTTTTTTTTTTTTCTAAAAAATAATAATTGGGTGCCCAAAATAGAAATTAAGTAATATGTGAGCGAGCAAATAGATAGTCCAATTTATCATCACTACTCCATTGACGAAGCCAGGGCCTTTTCACTATCAGGTGAATCATATACATTTTAGTTTTACCATCATTCTCATTAGATTTCTCATCCACACAACAACGACATCATCACTACCTTTAGGCGCATCGCCGCCGCTGAGACTTTGGAGGTGTTGTTAACGTACAAGCCGCTGAACACCATCCTGAACCCGAACGCCCTCGACAACAACCGGTACTTACGGTAAGGATCCAGAATATCCATGGCGTGCAAACGAATGCAAACCCGAGCACGGGAGCAAGTTCGAGGATTGGTATTCGTCGACGGTGACGTAAGCCAAAAAGCAGCCACCGCCGGCGACGACGCAGACAAACAAAATGCAAGCTATGGTCCATATGTAGGCATGGCTAGCATCTTCATCGGTTCCGTCATCTGGGGAAATCTAGAAAGAAATGGTATTAGAATTGTGAGTGCGTGGTGGTCATGATGATGATGATGAGGCATGTTTTAGAGTAATGGGATGGGGGAAAGAACCCCTTAGAGATGGGGGAATTTGGCCTAGGGTTGTTATGTCGTTGTTGTTGCAGGCTGGAAACGAGGTATGTGGGATTCTCCTAAGTTAAACATGTTCAAAGTTTGTTCACGTAAATTATGCTTCTCTTTTGTTAATATCACACGGAACAAGAGACAGAGAAACACAACGTGTTCGGCCTAGGTTCATGTTCATCTCTTAAATAAAAAATAAATACTAACTTTTTCTATTAA